TCATCTTCGACTGGACCCGACCTCTGAGAGCGCCCCGTTGATACCTGATCCGGCCTCGTGCATCTGCGCCGCCCAAGCTCGATCTCGATATCGCAAGTCGAGCTTATGAGGCAAGACACTCTCTACCTATCTGCGCCTTGTCATTCTTCTCCAGCACCAGATAGTCGTGGCCATGGCACAATACAGTCGTTCTGCTCTCTAAGGAACACCTGCGCCGAGACGACGGCGAAGATGCGTCTTGTTCCATGCCATCATACTCCTTGGTTTTGCTTGAAGTTGTGTAAGTTATGCATCCTGGTCGCCCCGAAAGGTGAGCCGCCCGGGACTCCCTCGTTTGTGCTTCAATACTCATGTACTATGTACAGCGCAGGGGGCGGGGGGAACGACTATTCACGGTTTCTGCAGGTTCAAGCCACCTACTAGTTCGCGATGTCAGCATCTTGCACCGTCTCCCCGGGCTTGCATGCTAACCCCCAGCCAGGCCCTGTCCTGTACCGTGCAGTACTGTACTGTAGGTTTCGCCGGGCTTGTAGAGTATCCGTTGCTACCTTACGTCACGGAGTTACTTGGCTGACCCGGCAGCTCCATCAGCTTATCACTGTCGGCTGCCAAACCCGCACACAACTCCACTTGTCATCAAAAGTAGTCAACTGGGCACATCACTCCGACTAGCGACGGACCGAAGCCTGCTGCTGCCCGTCCCTGCAGCGTGTTTTCGTCTCGCGTGATGCCGTTGAGCGCGCTCTAGTGGGCAGATGCCTTCTTCGAACCTGAGACAGATGGCCTTGCTTCTAGACTCGGCCTGGTCGTGAGCAACGGCAGGTTTCGGGCGTCATGCTGACGATAAGCTTGCAAGACTTGGTCGAGACGCCATGGACTTCATTGCTTCGCGATGCGACGTCGGCTGACGGCCTCCCTAACCGTCCATCCTTGTTTACTCAAGGAAGCCAGCTTTGATGCAACTCGTCACATGGACCATCAAGGGCAACGATACACACAGCGTGCTAGCTATATTTGGCAGTCAGACGATGCCTCAGCAAGACGGAAAAGTTGATGCAAGACGCAGCCCCGGGTCATCTGTCCATTCCAGGGTTGCATTACGAATAGTGCACCCTCTTCGACTGCCTGCCCTCCTTCAGCGCTTAGGCCGCATGACAGTGTTGCACACCTTTGAACATCTCCACCGCTCCGTCCCGACATGCCTTTCGACCTGCTTCGCATACATGTACAGAGGCTGCTAAGGTGACACGGATCTCGTCATGGGAAGTCACATATGCTTGAACGATTGCCGACACAGCAGGCGCCCGTCCGGCCGTGGAGGGCCTGCGAGGATCCGAAACACATGATGCCGCCGGTAAATCTGCTACCTGTGCCCTAACCAAGGCTTAACATCAGACGACTGACTGCACTACCACCGGCGGATTGGTGGTTGCTCAACGGGTTTTCCATCATTTCAGAGACACCAGAAAGCCCATCCCGGCCATCACCGTTGGCCGAGCTCGTCGCGAGATGGCTCCCTGGTCGGCAACAGCTTGATGCTATCGTTCTCATACATTTTCATGTAGATTGTAGCGCAGAAGCGTCCAACTCGCATGACGATTCAGAGCCGGTCGACGTTTGATTGGTTTGCGCTCAGAGTCCTAGCATCATCAGTGCCAGGATTCGAATGCGCCACAGCTGAGAATCCGATGTTAACGGCGCGGATGGCAAAGGGCAAAACGGCTGAACTCAACGAGGCCAGAGGTGAGGGGCTGGGGATGGCACGGCGCCATTGGCAAAAAGACGGGGCCGCGGACGCGCTCCCAGAGTCAACGGTGCGTCCCTAGTGTGCTTCACCTGGCGAATCAGGAGTAGGAACTGTTTTAGCGACCGATCCGGACTGTCTCTGACTCCCTACCATGTACCTACTTAGCTCCCTACATGTACCACATACAGGTTTGGGGAGTAGGTTGCCCTTGCAGGGACGTTTCGACCAAGACGACCCAAGGTAATGAATGAATGAGATACCCACCGTCGTACATAGTCCGCACCGATCTAGAGCAATCAACAGAAGCACGCAACAATAGCAAGATGGGTTTGTTACCGTGTTGGGATCGGGCGTCCAGACGCTCCGTAAAGGTCAGATAGCATTACAAGACGCGTCTGGATCTTTCGACGCGTTCGTCGGAAACCGGCAAGCCGCACATCGTACAAGCATATGCAGCGAAGTGCTCCATGGTATATGGTCTTACCTTACATGGTATGCTGTCTCCTCGGCAGGTCATGGGCTCTTCGCATTGAGTCCAGGCGAGTCGACAGACGCACGCTGTCAAAAGGTGCCAGGGGAGCGGGCAGGAGAAGATGGTGTGTAGGAACGAGCTTGAGAGTGGCATGGGATGGCATGCGATCATGGGCCTGGGTGTACTATGCACGGGACGAAGAGATAGAGGGGGGTGGGCAGGACGCGCCTGTGCCGTGGAGGTGTGACGTCCGTCTGGGGCAGCGGCACGAGGGAACAAGGGCGCCTTTGGGTGTTGGAGGGGGTGTTGACCAGGAGCGGCAAGGCGTTTCCCTTGGCTTGGCTGCACATCATGGGGTTCGGCGGGTCCCCACCCTCTCGAGACGAGGTGGACGACACGGCAGGGTCTCCGTCCATCCCCCCTTCTTCTCGATGGTCTCGGGGTTTGGTGTTATTCTTCTCTTCACCCGTCCGAAGGGACAGTAGGGCGGTTCTTGGCCAGAGTCCAACGCGCGCAGGCAAACGAGAAAATCTAGTTGGAGGGGGTGATGTTGTGTTTACGAGAAAAGTGACACTTGCCCGGTTCAGGAGAGGAGCTGCTGAACATGCCGAAAGGTGCTCCCAAAAACAGAAGCGAATTATTTACCAACTGGCCAGCAACCAGAGACCCTGATCGGATGAAGAACGACATCGTACTCTGGCGCGCCCCTCCCGCAAATCGAAGGGGGAAAGTTGAATAGGGGAGGGGGGGGGGG